CTGGCCTGTTAGTCTCTGTAAGACCAAATTACAAATCTGGTCTGTCTTATATTTAAAAAATAAAAATTTTGCCCTAGACCTGTTTGTCTATTTAAGCTTATTAAATATTTAATAAGTAAAAAAATAACTAAAATAATCTTACTTTATTATTCAAAATTATTAAAATAATAATCTTATTTATTTTATTTAAAATAAATAATTTTATGCGAAAAATATTTCTACAGTTACTGTAGATAATTATCTGCATTTATTCTCAAAACAACGTCGTTTTGGTATTGAAATATTAAATAATTGTAAATATAAATATTACTATAACCCTGAAATAAATTAGAATTTTAAAAATACCATGATTTTCGTCCTAAAACGACGTCGTATTGGGGCGCAGATAACTTATATGCCGTAACTGTAGAAAAATTGAACCCTAATTTCATATAAGCCTGCCTGTTAGTTTATAGGCCCAACATGTATAAAAAATCTTTTAGCCTGTTTTTTAAATAGATTTTTTTTAAAAGCCCAGGCCTGTTCTGTTTGATTATTCGTAATAGGTCAAGCCTGACCTAATATATGCTAGATCGTAGGCCCCTGTAAATCGGATTAGCTCATTTACACCCTACTGTTCGAAAGATTTTTTTTTTTTTTTTGCTTCTCTTCTCTTTATAAATAGAAATTAGGTCAAACCATTTTTTATAATAAATTTTTTTATATAATGAAGAAAAAAATTAAAAGCCAAAAACTCTTTCTAAGATTTTTTTAAAGCTGTATCAGTCTTTTCTTTCGAATTAAATAATTTTTAATCTGAAAATTTAATATAATTATCAAATAACTTGTAATTTCAGTTTCAATTTTTTCTAAGCTTTCGTTAAAAGTAAATTTTAGCTATAAAAAACAAAGATGTGTCAAACAGCTAAGTGTGCCCCCCTTTTTTGGATCAATAGTAATAATTAGAATTATATTTTCTTATGCAACAGGAGATACTCACAATTTACCTGTGGGTCCTATTGCAAGGGAAAAGATGAGGAAAATTTAAAGTGGAACTCATATATTTTTGAGTGTATAAGAGAGAGTTATTATTTCATGTGACATGAGATTAATATTTTCATATAACTTAAATATAAATTATTCAAATCTCTTGCTATTAAACCAATTCTAACGGCTTGTAAGTGTGCCCTTTGGATCCATTATTCTTTTCCATTCTCTTTAATATCGATTTTCTTTTCTTAGAATTATCACGATACGAGATCTTACCGAGGGAAATAATAAATAGATATTACTCTGACATGTTAAAATCAACACGAGATCTTTCCTCTTCTTTTAAGTAGGGGGAATATAGAGTTGGTGACTTGGTGGAAGATTCCAGCATTATGCTCTTCTCGTATCCCAATGGCAAGGTTAACTAATTTAAAGTCGATCATGAAAGATCTTTAGAATTACAAACTTAATATCTTCAAAAAAAAAAATTACAAACATAAAAGTAGTTGTTTTGAATTTGTCATCTAGTTATATTTATTGTTATTTAATGAGTTTAGTTATATGGATTTAGTCTTTATTATTTTAAATAATATAAAGTTATGTTATTTGTTAATAAAATTACATCATTTTAATGTGTTTTATTATTTTTTTAATTTATAAATTTAAAAAAAAAAGGAGAGAGAATATAAAACTGTACGAAAATAATAAAATTTCATTAAAAATAATATAATTTTGTGTCATTTAAAAAATAAATAATTTTTTCTAATTATATTAATACTAAATTTAGATCAAATTAATAGAAGACCCCACACGCTCCCGTACGAAGAGAAATAAATAATAATTGACAACTACAGTATATGAGGAGGAAATATTTTTCTTTCCAACGCCCTCGGTTCGCCACCTAATTATCACGGGCCATAGCTCTATTATCTGCGACAATTAACAAGCTCTGTTCGCCGCCTAATTAAAACGGAATTTGCGGCCGAACATGAACGATGCAATTTTAAACTTTTAATTTAATATTTTAAATTTTTTTTCTGTAAAGTAAATTTCTCCTACCCTGGTACTTGGCCGGTAAGATCGGATGAAATTATTAACGCTTTCAATTTTATTTTTATACTCCTTAATAGTATTTGTATGATATATATATATATATATATATATATATATATGGGATCACATAAAGTTCAATTAATATATTATGAATAATAAAAAATTAATATTTTTATTTTTATTACAATTAATATGATTTATTTATTATTAAAGTTTTTTTATAAAAGAAAAATTTATTAGCCTCCACGTAATGCAAAATGTATAATGCAATTCGATATTGAAGTTTTTTATTAACCTTCAAATGATGAGCTTTTTATTTTTCAAAAAATATCCATGAGAGACATATATGTTCATTGCAATTCGCTATTGAAGCTAGATTCACACATCTCAATTTAAGAATGACCTTCATATTATTTATACGATGCAAAAATTTTAGTTGTAATAATAGTAAAGCATTCTTGATTGTTTGTATCACAGCATGCCCAACAGATAAAGAGAATCTATATATAAGGATGTGTATCACAACCTTCCTAAAATCAATTTTTTTTTTAATTTATGTTCTCGGGAACTGAAATGGATAGAAAACTCGTTTGGTAAAACCGATTTATTTTGTGTTCCAGAGATGAACCAGTTTAATTTTTGTGTTGGAGACAAAAAAAGAATAAAAAAATTTCTGCTTTTTTTTGTTCCCGGGCACAAAATGAGAAACAATTATTTCTCTCCATCACTCTCCACCTCTACCATCATCATCACCACCACCACCATATCATCCCGACACGACCACCGCCACCATAGTCGCTGTCGCCGTCGTACCGCTAGTGTCGTCGTCACCACCCCTCACCACCCCTCACCACCACAATGCCACCGTCGCCACCATCACCACCACCTCCACCCATCACTACCACCATGCCACTGTCGTCGTTGCTGCCGCCACCACTGTCACCGTCACCACCACTGCCATCAACCACCACCACCACCACTATCACCGTCACCACTACTGCCATCAACCACCACCACCACCATCGCCTACACTACCATTTTCGCAGCCACAATTGTCACCACCGCCGCCATTAACCACCACCACCATCGTCACAACCACTACAGTCACCACCACCGTCGTCTCTGCCACCAACCACCACCACCACTCCGTCACTACCATCACCACGCCATTGCCACTACCACCACCATTGTCACCAGTGGCGGAGCCGGGCTCTAATTTGAGCCCGGGCCAAAAAATTATATGTGTATTTATTTTTCTTAATTATAGTTGGTTCATATCATAATATATTTAAATTACAATTAAATACAGAACACCTGGGCAAAGCAGCACTAAGAAGAGTTATAGTTTTATTAAATATTTTTTATTTTTACTAAAAATAATTTATTTATTTTATACAAGTGAAAATTAGATACATAACCTAATACAACTTACCCAAATCTTTCACCAAAAACATTTTAAGTTTTACACAGGGCCAAATTATAAATTGTAGCCCGGGCCAAATTACAATTTTAATATAGGCCAAATTATAATTAATTATATAGTTATATATAATAAGTACAATTTGTTAAAATTAGCCCGGGCCGAGGCCACACCCACGTCATACATGGCTCCGCCACTGACTGCCACCATCAGCACCACCACCGCCACCATCACCGCCACTATGATGGCATCACAACCACCATCACCATGCCACCGCTACCATTGTCGCCACCACCATTATCGCAGCCACTGCCGTCACCTCCACCACCACCACCACCACCATCCCTATCACTACCGCCACTGCCGCCACTGCCGCCACCATTACCACCGCTATCGTCGCAGCCACTGCCGTCACAACCACCACCACATATTTATAAAAACTAAAAGAATATTGTAATATTTGAAAAAACTATAGATTTAAAAAAGAAAATTAGTGTTAAAGAATAATAAAATAATGAATCTTTTAATCATTTTAATTTGCAAAGTTATAAGAAAGAGAGAGAGAGAGAAATTTTAAAAAATAGACACGAATAATTTCACAAGATTTCCAAAAACGTGTTCGGTGCATTTGAATTAATTGTTTCTTTAATCTCAATGATTTCTTTTGAGAGGCCCAAAAGACTTTTTGTTATTAAAATTGAATTTAAAATAAAGTTCACTAAGTGAAATTATCATTACATTAATTAATATATGATTGAGATTTGAGATGTCTTGTTAGAGTAAAATAGTCAGACAAACTGTTTATCAAAAAAAAAAAAAATAGTCAGACAAACATGTGACATGTATCGTTATAATATTCACCACGTGCTTTACAATTTGCTAATTTAATTTGCTTTTCCACTACCGCTGACTCATTCAATTTTTTTTATAAGATTATTGTATAAAAAACAATAAAGTTATTAAATAACATTGATTATAAATAAAAATATGCAACTGAATAATTATATTTAATTGAAAAATTCAAAACATCATTATCTTATTTATTTTTTTCATTAATTTTCAAAAGCGATAAATAAAAACCAACTAATTAGGTACTGTTTATGAAAAGAATGATCAATTACGAAACATATAGATAAACTATTAATGAATTATTTCAGCTTAAATAGTAATAAATTTGGTAAGGCTAATTTTGGTACCCACGTGATTTTATTATACTCAAGTAAAATTAGTCAAGTAATTGATCAATCGCAATGAAGGAGAGAACACATAAAATATGCATGGCGTGCTTCTTCGATCAGCCGCGCTGCAAGGCCACGAGGGTTATATTTAATTCTTGTTCTCTTCCCCAATAGGATTTAGGCCATGATTCACGACCACATGGCTGTTAATTATTATTGGTTTCACTGCTTGTGTCCTAGGCCTAGCTCTTACCCTCTCTATATATATGGTCATCATTTATGTTCTCCAACATCCCAACTACACTAATCTCAGAGTCTTTCTTTCCTTACACCTATATATAGCCAGTAAGGTGGTACTAAGTTAGAGAGGCCAAATCAAAATGCCTACACTAGTTGCTGAGGTTGAACCTTTGAGCCTGAAGCCCATTGTCTGTGCTTCAGGTGTCAAGGGGAAACGAGTGACTGCATTACCTGCAGAAGCTGATGGTCTTTCTGATTTCATTCATTCAGTCATTATGGACAAACCAGACATGGAATCACCCTTTAGCGTCCTTGATTTAGGGGTCGTAATGGACCTCATGAAAAACTGGACCACCAAACTTCCCACGGTTCAGCCTTTCTACGCCGTCAAATGCAACCCTAACCTTTCCTTGATTGGAACACTGGCAGCTCTCGGTTCCAGTTTTGACTGTGCCAGCAAAGCAGAGATCGAATCCGTTTTGTCACTCGGAGTCTCACCGGATCGAATCATCTACGCCAACCCATGCAAATCGGAGTCCCACATCAGATACGCTGCAAGTGTCGGTGTCAACGTGACAACGTTTGACTCCGTTGACGAGGTCGAAAAGATCCGAAAATGGCACCCGAAATGTGAGTTGCTACTCCGAATCAAACCTCCACAAGACAGTGGAGCACGAACTTGCTTGGGTCTTAAATACGGTGCGCTTCCCGAAGAATTTCAAGAGCTGCTCCAAGTGGCTAATGCTGCTGGGCTCAAAGTTACTGGCGTGTCTTTTCACATTGGAAGTGGAGGAGCTGACACGCGAGCTTATCATGGAGCCATTGAAGCCGCTAAGAGTGTCTTCGAAACGGCTTCTCGGCTTGGCATGCCTACAATGCGTGTCCTTGATATTGGTGGCGGCTTCACATCTGGCTCGCAGTTTGACGCTGCGGCTTTGAAAATAAACGCAGCCATTCAAGCCAACTTCGCCAATGAAGTTGAAGAGGGACTCGTGGTTATTGGCGAGCCGGGTCGTTACTTTGCGGAAACGGCTTTTACCTTAGCCACTAGAGTTATTGGTAAGCGTGTAAGAGGTGAGGTGAGGGAGTATTGGATCGACGATGGGATATACGGTACGCTCAATTGCATAATGTTTGACTTTGCTACTGTCACGTGCACACCACTCGCGTGCACCTCAAAACCTGAGAACCCCACGTGCATAGACTCCAAAACCTATACTTGTACTGTTTTTGGACCCACTTGCGATTCCATTGACACGGTTCTCAGAGATTACCAGCTACCGGAGCTGCAAGTGAACGATTGGCTTGTGTTCCCCAAGATGGGTGCTTACACAACGTCTTCGGGCACCAACTTCAATGGGTTTAGCTCATCGGCATCGTCCACTTACCTTGCATATTCGAGTCCTGCCGTGAGGGAACAATTGTTCTGATCGATACTGAACCGATCGTGTGGTGTTTGATAAATGGATTTTAGGTCATAACTTTCTTTCTTTTTGGTTTGGGAAACTCAATAATAGCGGCATGGGTGGTCGTGGACTCGTGGTTTCTCTTTTGTTTGTCCCTTTCCATTTTATAATTTGGGAACAACTATGTTTCGAATTTCGGAATAATATTTTGTTTATTTCCTGTACTTTTTCGATTCTTTTGTTTGCTTTTTCATCAACATTGTTCCTCTGTGCATTATTTTCTGAGCATGTGAAACACGTCGCGGCAAACAACATCATCAGAGTATGGGATAAAATGTTATCCAAAAAAGAAAAGAAAAAGAATATGGGATAAAATAAATGTTAGTGATATTGTCATCGGCTCTATACAAGAGACTCATATTTTAGAAACTCTAATAAAAAGTAATTAAAAAAAACTAAGATAAATAAAGGAAAGCGTCAATAAAGGATATTAATATTAATGTCACAGTTATGAACTTGGATATGAGTCTCCAAAGATTCAAAATTTTATTATGCCCGATAAATTCTATAAATAAAAGGTACAGTTCACTACTATAGATATTTATATCTTTCTTACTGTTATGCTATTATTGTATATACATATCACCCTTTTGATAAAGTGGTTATTCCTACATGTACAATAATATGCTAACTTCTAAGGTATTTTTTTACTTCAGAAAGCCTCTTGATTCAATATCAATATACTAGTCTGCACTAGATATTTATATTTCTAGGACATAACAAATATAATATTATAAAATTTATGACCGTGATATTCATTTAATAATTAAATTTTGTAAGTTAAATTAATATTTTATATAAGATTAAAATTTAGTCACAAATTCAATTCTTATTAATTTTTCTAAAAAACAAATTAAATCTGTAGAAAAAAAATTTAAAATTAAAATCCGTATAAGAAAAAAAAATGAGTCTATATGTTATTCATCTTCAAGTTATGAGATAATATGATAAAAATAAAATATTTAACAATTATTAAATTTAAATTTTAGGATTAAAATAATTTTTTATGATTAAAGTATAAAAGTAATTATAAATATTTAGCAACGTGTGTGTAGGGATAAAAGCATATTCTTTTTACCCCACAAAGAAAAAACATATTATTTTTTACTAAGTACTTGAGCACCCGCGTGGTGGAGGTGACATCTACAACTGTTTGGCAAGGGAAATTTTTTAAGATTTCTTCGTAATTTTATTTATTCATGTTTAATATAAGATTTTTGAATTTTTTTTTAAGAATCTGATTTTTCTGAAATTATATATATATATATATATATATATATATATATATATATATATATATATACACACGTCATCCAAGAATATTACCAAAGTGGTGATAGCTTTAGAATCTCAAGTGTTGAAAAAAATTTATATTTTTTTAGGACAAGATTTCAGTAATATTTTAATTTACCAAATGACTTTTTGATAATATTTTTGAGAAAGTGACTTTCTCACCATATTCTAATAAATTATAATTTTTGGACAAATATTTTTTTATCATTTACCAAACATCTCTTCATCTGTGCATTATTTTCAGAGCATGAAAAACATGTCACGCCAAAAAACATTATTAGAGTATGGAATAAAATTAATGTTAGTGATATTGTTATGGACTTATAGAAAACCCATATTTTAAAAGGCCCAATAAAAATCAATGGAAAGAGAAAACTAACGCAAATAAAGTAAAGTATTAATCAAAAATCCTAACTTTAATGTGATAGCTATAAACCTGGACATGGCCCCTAAAAGAGCATCTACAGATCTAAAATTTCACTACTCAAATAAACTTTATAAATAAAAAGTAAAGCATACAAATATAGACACTTATTTCTCTCTTACTATTATGCTATTATTGTGCATACACACAACTTTGACAAAACCGTTATTCCTAATGCATAATGATCTACTAATCTCTAAGGTATCTCCTTCATAGATACAAAGTATCTTTATCCAACATTAATATACTAAACTGTGACTAGACATTTCTTTTCTTAAGACAGAATAAATATAATATTATAAAATTTATAATCATGATATTTATTTAATAATTTAAAGTTTAAGTTAAATTAATATTTTATATAAGGTTAAAATTTAGTCAAAAATTCAATTCTTATTAATTTTTCTAAAGTACAAATTAAACCTGTAGCAAAAAAATAAAAATAAATTAAAATCCGTATAAGAAAAAAGAATAGGTCTGTATATTATTCACCTTCAAGTTATGAGATAATATGTTAGAAATAATATTTTTTTTTTGGTAAACAAAAGGCTACAGCCCAAAAAGAAAAAAAGAAAAACTAAACAACAACTAAAACACGATCTCTCTCCACAGAAGAAATAAGATATTTAACAATTATTAAACTTATTTTTTTGGATTAAAATAATTTTTATTATTAAAGTATAAAACTATAAATATAAATATAATAAAATGAATTATAAATATTTGGCAACGTGTGTGTAGGGATAAAAGCATATTCATTGTTTATAAAAAAAAATAAAAAAAAATCTTTTTGACTAAATACTTCAGCACCCACATGGTGGAGGTGACATCTAGTGCTGCATTTACCCTTTAATGTGAAGCCTACGCTGTGTGGTACATCTAGAGGCCGTTTGGTACACAATTTTTTTTCGGATTTTCGGAAAACTGAAATTTTTAAAATTTTAAATTTTCAGATATTATCATAAACTGGATGTAAAAATCATATTTTTAAAAATCAAGATTTCCAGACAAATAAAAATTCATCCTGTACCAAACACCCCCTGGCATCTGTGTCTGGGTTTGCGCCCAGAGAGCTACTCGTAGAATCGATTCCCATGCTTATGCCGATGTAGCTGTTTTGGTGCAAGCATAAGTTTTTTGGTGTACGTTTTGTTGGTAGAAATATTTTTTCTTCTTCTAATAATTATTATAAAAATATTATTTTATTAAATTTTGATTTTAATTTAAAAATGTAAATATCTTTTAAAAAAACTTAATAATGAAGTGATATTTTATATTTCATATAAATATAAAAAAAAAGAGTAAATACATTTTTTAGTCTCTCGCAATATTTACGAAGCCTTTTTCAGTCCCTAACAATAAAAAAGAGACAAATTGGTCCCTGAGATAACAAAAAAGAGGCACGTTCATCCTTCCGTTAACTCCCACCTAATGGCCCAACTAACGGTGCACTCCTGTTTCTGATGTAATGCACTTCTGTTTTGCAAAATTGGACTGCATAGAAAAGCAATGAAGTCATGTGCCTATTTTTCTCTAGTTAGGGACCAATAAGGGCCCCACACTTTTTGTTAGGGACTAAAAACGTCCTCGTGCATTTTGACAGGGACCAAAATGCACGAGGACGTTTTTAGTCCCTAACAAAAAGCGCGGGGCCCTTATTGGTCCCTAAGCAGAGAAAAATAGGCACATGACTTCATTGCTTTTCTATGCAGTCCAATTTTGCAAAACAGAAGTGCATTACATCAGAAACAGGAGTGCACTGTTAGTTGGGCCGTTAGGTGGGAGTTAACGGAAGAATGAACATGGTCTCTTTTTTGTTATTTCAGGGACTAATTTGTCCATTTTTATTGCTAGGGACTGAAAAGGGCTTACTTGGATATTGCCAAAGATTAAAAAGAGTATTTACTCTTAAAAAATAAATAAATTATTTTGTATAAAATTTTACGAAAATACGTGTGGGGTGCGTAATGTACCTTCCCTCGATCAATTTGGCACGTGATTAATTTAAGATGCGGAGGACCGAAGAATTGGTCAATTTCCTATGCTCCCAACTGGAGGCAACGAAGCATGCACACACGAAATAAAAAAAAATACTTATCCGACATATGTCGGACATCGACACGTTTCGATACATGGTCAACAGTTTAGAATATGCAGTTAATGTTCTGACACACTTTTTCGATACGCAACTTTTTTTGACATGCAGTCAACGCTTTGACACGCATTCGACATGTTTTTTTCATTCTAAATGTTATTTTATTAACTAAACATAAAAAAATAATTTATAAATCAATTTTTTTCTATTAAGAAATTTGACATGAAAAAGTAACAAGGTACAAAAAATTATTTTTATTTATATTTATATTATGAAATTTGAATATTTAATTTGTTATATGATTTAGTATGAGTTGTTATATGTATTAAATATAAATTATATTATATATATTAAAAATATTATTTAATATCAAAATATGTTCTAATGTGTAAAATTGACATTTTTTAGTATTAATGTGTCGGCATGTCATATTGTGTCGTGTCCCGTGTCAGTATCCATGCAATATAAATTGGGGAGAGTAAATAAGATGAATGAGATTATAATAAATAAATAAAAAATAAGCTATTGGCCGGTTAATAGTACGTTTTTGAAATTCCTAAACTGCAATTTTACACATATTATATTGGGTTTTATATTATTTTACATAACATAACTCCACTTTCCTACACACACATTAAAAAGGTGGAGTTCACATATTTTTTTTTTCTCTTTCATCATTCCACTTTCTCTCTCCCCATTATTGTGTGTATTGGAAACTAATGTTATGTTATGTAACATAACATTAATAAAACCCGGGATAGGATATTGTGACACCCAAGTTATGTTACACCCATGTGACACCCAGTCAATCTCACCGTTAGATTGCTTATCAATCAAAAATGTCATGCGAATCCTACGATGGTAGGACAATTAACTAGGCTGAGTTGATGGCTAAAGTACGTGGACCGTAATTTCAGAAAAATAAAAAGTTACTACTAAATCCTAATTCATGCGCCTATGAATGGTCTATATAAAGCTGCTTCTCTATGCACGGGATTATTTGTATGTATAAAGTATATGTGCTTCATTGCCCATATAACCGTAGTTAGAAAATTAATTGGGAGATGCGCAGGTCTACCGATGAACCCAAAACTCCAACCCAAATTAATAAGTTAGTTGAGTTCGGATCAATAGTTAGATTGAGTCTATTTCCAAAAAAAAATAGTTAGATTGAGTCAAACTCACTTCTATTAGAAATCCCTATTTACTTCTTATTTTTAAAATTTTATAAAGCATTATGCTTATGTCCGCGTACTCAATTCCTATTTACTTCTTATTTTTAAAATTTTATAAAGCATTACTAGCCTAAACGGATGAGCCACTCTGTAATACCGAATTGGGCCCTATTCGGATCCAGATGTAGCGGGGGGAGGTATGCTTGAAGGTTTCATTCGGGCTCTATCTCTGCTTAGGCCTCTTTGATCACTGGGTTGTTTATGGGCCAGTCTCGGACGGGTCTACACAGTATACAGTACCCCAGATGGGCCATATTGGGCTTATCATCGGTAAGCCCCACACGTTACATAATCCCACACTCAAAATAGAAGTAAACCCAGACACCGAGTGTTCAAGCAGTATTTAGTTATGCTTCTAATTCTTAATGATGTCCCTGATTTATTCTAATGTGTTGCTACCCAGTGCTAGTGATTCCGTGGAAGTTTCAGTTTATTGTACGTTGGCTTTTGGGGCTGTTTTATTAATAAATACCAACCCCCACATCTGTTATTGTTTCATGCATCAAAACAACGATGGCCTTGCCGCTGGGTTTGCTATTCTCAATTGAAATGTTTAGAAATGAACAAAATAGACTGCTATGTAATATTTCTCCTAGTTGCTCCTCCACAAATATATTGTGTAGGATATTTTTCTGCCATCATGTTGTCTTATCTTGCTTCAATTTTTTTTCCTATATAACAATGGAGTGGTTAAGTTTTATTTAATTTTTTTTTTTTTTAATTTCTTCTAATCTTGGAACCTCATCAATCTATTGTTTGCTTGAGTGAGACATGGTAATAAATTTGGAAGACCGGCAAAGGTTAAGAAGTGCTTCTTCGGCCACAATTTTGGCATACTCTGAGCTATCATATCTAGTTATCTACACTTCATCTGCCTCACACTAAAAAGAAAATCTAAGCCACGTCATAGGATAACATCCAATCCAACCAATTACAGCAATCCTCATCAGATAACCCACTTCCAGCCCATCCTATTATCTAAATCACTCATTCCTCCACACATCTGAACCACACAAAAACCAATCCACAGCACGATCCATTCATTCGTGCTATAAAAAATCACCCCTTGCATGTCTACCATTTGATTCCCTTCCAACACATAAACACATACAAGTTTAGAAGATCAGACTAAAGCTTCAGACATGGCCACCGTCACTTCTACTGCTGTTTCTATTCCATCATTCACTGGCCTTAAGGCAGCTGGAACAAACGCAGGCAAAGTTAGTGCCAAAGCTAAGGTGTCAAGTTCCCAATTGCCAAGGCTCAGCGTCAAAGCTTCACTTAAAGACGTTGGAGTTGCTGTGGTTGCCACTGCTGCCAGCGCAGTGCTAGCTAGCAATGCCATGGCCATTGAAGTCTTGCTTGGTGGTGATGACGGGTCTCTGGCTTTTATTCCCAATAGTTTCTCAGTGAGCGCTGGAGAAAAGATCACATTCAAGAACAATGCTGGTTTCCCGCACAATGTTGTCTTCGACGAGGATGAAATTCCTAGCGGCGTTGATGTAGCGAAAATCTCCATGTCTGACGAAGACCTTCTCAATGCGCCTGGTGAGACTTTCAGCGTTACCTTGGATGCGAAGGGAACCTACAGTTTCTACTGTTCCCCTCACCAAGGAGCTGGTATGGTGGGAAAAGTCACTGTTAATTAAATGTCTGAAGTAAGGCAATCTTGTCTTTCTCGTATGGTTTAAGTTAATTTTGTTTTTGTAGTAGAGCTTAATTAAATGTTGTTTGTTATGGGATTGTATGATATGAACCGATATAATGCTCTTATGTAACTCATTTACTTCGTTTGGGTTCAGACTGTTCCCTCTCATCGCGGAGAAATACTTCCCTAAACGAATATTACGTCGATAAATTATTAATATGTTTTTAGTTAATGATGAATTATTAAGATTTATCCTTCTATAATAAAATTGAGTTATCGTGAAATAATTTTTCAAAGTGCTCCTTTTTTTATATACGAAATTTTAAGAAATAATGTTTTATTACGCATCCGTATGCAGAAAAGAATCAATATTAATATACAATGTGGCTGTGACATGCAATCCATTAATTAGTAATTACCATACGCAGCCTGTTGGTGGTTGAAAAATCAGGGGTAAGGCCCCTTCAACTTTTTGCCAAGCACGTCCTGCGATCCAATTCCCTTCCTTCTTTGAGATTAAGAGGCTATGCCTATGTAGTTAGAGCATCAGGAAGGGTAGACCGGGAGCCAAGCACCTTACCACCGACATCTGGGAAAGACTCAAATCCAGGTAAGGAGCGTACCTTTCCATTTTCATCAACATGGACAGGATATTTCATAAGGTGCCCTTGCAATGGGGCAAAATCATCTGCTGTAAACTTCTTCCAGTTGTCTTCAGCAATCTTGGTCACTTTCTTCACGCAATCCAAACTTTCAGGCTCCTTGAAGCAAGCATCTGTGAACCCTAAGTGTTCTGCCCACAGAGACATTCTATACCCATATACCTGCAAATACCTCAATTAATAAGTCCTCAGGGAAGTGAACTGGGGAATTGCCTCAGGCCTCTAAAAAGCATAGAAAGATTAAACAAAAATATTCGGGAGTTGATCCTCTCATGTGAAAAAGTGGTCATGTTATTTGATCACAACCACTTAATTAAAAATTATACACTTTTCTCTCTCTTATCTCATCATCAATGAGTAGTTATGATCAAATAACATGACCACATAACCACTTTTCCACGTGAGAGGATTCACTCCCAAAATATTTAGTTAGATTTACAGTATATACTTAACGAATTATACAAACCTGACCATGTGGATGTTCCCTTTTCTTACTCCATGTATGATGGGGTTGATATGCACCCATTGCGATCTCAGTATCTCTTGATCCAGCCATAGATCGTTGATTGATGTTGGCAGACCCAATTATCACATATTCATCGTCCACAACCATTCCCTTGGCATGTACATAAACCATAAACCGTCCGAACTTTTGTGATGCTGAAACCTGCTGATCATTACAGAAAGATATTAACCTAATGCTATCAACACAAAATAATAATATTATCCCTGAATTGCATATCTACCAACAAGTAGATTGGTCACTACTTCACATTCACACTCCAGTAGTCTAGAGGAATGTAGCAAGCAAAATCTATGATAATTACATCCTTCAATCTTTCTCCTTGCTCTCTTTTCTTCTTTCCAATTCCTTTCTCCCTTTCACGTGGATCTTTAACTTTTTTTGCTAAATTCAGAACCTAATATCTATTCAATTCAACCCATTTTAATAATGCATCAGAAGTCAGAAAAATATTTTCAAAGATTACCGTCTCGCCATTATCTGAAGTTGAATTACTTGAACGTAAACCGGAAGTTGTCAACTTCTCTCGGTTTCCAAGACAGTAAAAATTGAGGTAATCTTGTGGATGGCAATCGTCAAGGTGCATAGATTTTAACTCCCGAGCTATGATTTCATACATCATTTGCATAGTTTGTCCCTAAAAATGTGAATTCTGCTTTAATAAATATAAAAATTACTATTAATTGACGAACAAATTATCTACTATTTTAAAATTTTATATGCTATGCTAGCTAGCATTTTACACTATGCTACCTGCCAAAAGAGAATCTCTTGCACTGCGGCAGAAGAAGGGACCCCTTCAGGCCACATTGGGATGACAATATAAACTGCAAATCTCTCCTTGGATCTTATCTTACTGACTATCTTCAGTGCCAACTCCATAGGAATTAAGTTATCAGCACCTGAGCATAGAATGGAATATTAGATAATTGGGAAATCCCATTATTATAAAAAAATTAATGAAAAAGATCAACAGCAATAACCAAGGCTTATCCCACTTGGCGGGCTTTCTGGAAAAATAATGATAAAAAACGGATATTTTAAGTGATGTAGATATTAAGGCTATACAATCATAGTACATAGCTTATAATTACTTTGAGCCAGTTTGTCATCAATCCTCTGTTTTAAGCAGTTGTTCGAATTATACTACGTGAGCAAAAAAGCAAGGTATTGCAAGCACTGCATAAAAGCTAAAAGTAGCAAAAGTTATGTAACATGCTAAATACTAGTCATAGGTGCTTGCTTATACAGAAATTATGAGCAATCAATTGCAAGCAGATGCAACAAGTTACATGAGTAAACACCAATATTCTGCCAAAACCTGCTTCTTTGTAAGATGGCCAAGCAAAGGATGATCCAAGGAAATATTGATTCTCAATATATATAAAATGTTGAGCAGATCTGATCGCATGTATGTATGCTGTTTGAATACTCTTGTCTATGACCAAATTTTTTGCACAAACAAGGTTCTGCAATGAATGGCAATAAAATAGAAATTAGCGAGACAGGGAAATCCAAAGGTTCTATTTTATTTATCTATAGATCAGCTTGATGTTGGATAAGTTCATCTTATTAAAGTTACCAGAGCCTCAGCTTCAAATAAATCCTTGGGAAAGCCTTTCAAAGAGCCAGAATCTATGGATCGAAAAACCTGTGAAAAACAAATAAAATATAAGTAAACAAATTCTCTGTTGAGAGATAAAGAAGCAAACAGAAGCTATACTTCAAAGTCAGTGAACTAGTAACCTGAACATGCCAATTTTCAGGATCATCTTCCTTTGAAACCCATAATTCAGGATCATCATTAGAAGTTGATTCAGAAGGACTAAGAATCCAAGAGATGCGATCTAACTTAATCAAAGAATCCTCATGCCAATGAGATACTCTCTTGAATTTTTGACCCAACTCAGACCATTTGGTGGCTTTTCTCCAGCGCTGCTCAAAATTAGTGAGTATATCATATGCAGCAGGGCCCTCAATTTTGCAATGTAAATCATGCCATGGTTGCCTTGGACCCTTGCTTCCTGCCTATTATTAAAATGGAAGATAAAAGGAATTTCACTTGGTAAGAGTGCACTGGCCATCTCAATCTCAGTAACAAACAAAACTTCAGACAACACTTTTTAGGAAGTTACTAGATGTGAAGTGCCAAAAACACTGCTTAATTTCTATCATGCCAAACTTGTTGATTGAGTGGATGGATGGCATGACAGTTCTGTCGCTACTTCAACATGTTAAAAATTAAACATATGCTAAAACAATGCCCGCACAGACATTAAGACTTAAGACCAAGAAAACGCTATCAGCTTATAAACCAAAAGAGGAACATGTGGTTAATAGTTAACCTCATCCAACAAAACAACTCTATTTTTGTTTAATAGAGAAAGAAACAGAAACTGTACATGTCATGTTAAAAAGAAAACGTCATATCATATAGATTTTGGAATGTTAACAACTTACAAGTAATATAAAAGTATCCTCAGAGATTATGAACTTACAGAAAATGTGGGATTATGATAATCACCCTGATAAACAGTGTCAAGATCACGGAAAAGTCTATGCTCAGGTGTATCATACCGGCCATCACAAAGATCTAGACCACCTAAAAATGCAGTTATCTTCCGATTATTGCCATGTGCTTGAGTATCCACAATCACACATTTCTGATGATGCGTGAAGAGAGTTCCAACAACCTGAAGTTTGGTGCCACTTAATATAGTCAACAGGTTTTCCGATTTTTAAATAACAAAAAACACTTCTTTTTAAGAAATTCTTCCCTGTTGGGATTCAAAAAATCAATTATTGATTGTTAAAGAAACAGGTTTTTTTTGGTCAACTGTTAAAAGAAACAGTTGACATATGCCAGGTATGCAGTTTGAGCCATACAAAATGAAAGGATGCCCACTAATACAGTAACACGTCAATGTAAAGATTCAAGGAAGTTTATCCTGTGCATATATTAAAACTAGAGGGATATTATGAAAAGATGGAAAGGATGATAAAGTATAGAGAACTTTTCAACAGAAACGTGACAAAATCTAGGAAAGCTACTAAACCATAGCATAAAGCATGCCTGTTGCTTGAAAATGCTAAGCTTACTGCTGGCATAACGAGGTGACAACACACATGTAACTGAAGAATGCTTGAAAAACTTTCGAGTTTCTTCATCATGTGTTTGCATTATTCCAGCCTGCAACAAAATTACTAACTTATAAGGTTGTAGAAAACTCAACAAAACACCATATGAAAGTGAAAGTGGGCAAAATGCCAATAAAAGTAAATCTGCCCAAACCAATATCTCTCTTCAAGTAACTTGCACGTACAAAAAATCAGTAAAAGTAAAATGAAGGCAACAAAATATAGTTTTTTTAGAAGCCTATATCAGAATTAAGAACACGAAGTCATGCTCCAATAACACGTGATTTTAAAAACCAGAAAGTTAATACTATAACTTGACTTGGAATCTGTCACCAGGTACTTAGGTCTCAAGTGAAGATTTGGAACGCAGTATAATCCAATTTGAATACTGTCACTCTATTAATGAAGGAAGGGTTCAGAAGGAAGACCATCAAACCATTCCTAGAAGTTAATAGGATTTACGTAATCACACTTTTGTCTGTTACTAATCATACCATTTTTTATTATTTAATTATTTACTTTTGGGGGAGGGGGGAAGAATTTGGGACAAGGATTTTTCTTTTACGTTCTCCATCTTACATGCACGTTCCAAGGACACGCAAATCCTTATAATGCATAAATATATCATATTAACAAGTTATTTCTTAAACTTGGCAAGCTCAAACACAAGTAAAAACTGTTTTTACACCTTCACATGATTATTTAAAATACCTAGCAAGCATATACACGAGTTAAAACTTCCAAGCTAGTAGTCATCATTTTATATAACAAAATTCACCACGTAAAGAAAAAAAGAAAAAGTCATCATTGACGCTGCAGAGTTTTTAATTTTGCCATGATGACTACAATACTGAACAGAAGAGGTAGCTTTTTGGCTAAAGAGAATCCGAGTTGATTTAAAAGCGTACACACAAGAAGGATCAAACAAGAATTCTCGCAAATATAACAATGTTCAGGAGTCAGAGCATTGAAAATTTCACTTGGTATCATCCCATCTTCCCCTCAAGCCTAGGAAAATACCATAAAGTCATGAAAACCGACAAAAAAAGGTATTTCAACCTAATCTAATTTGCATCATAAAATAATTTGTTAATAAAAAGGGAAAACAAATACCGTGTTGATGAAAAATTTACTGTGCGAAGTCTTATCATCCCAAACCAACAGTAAAACTCGCAAGCCTTCTTGTGACTTGTACTTGAGCAACTCCCCCAAATTCAAATTCCCACCACTAGGTAAGGGCTTGGTTGGCTCTCTGACCAGATTCACCTTATGGTAGATGGACCAACCTACAATGTAAACCAAATGATGCGCTTCCAAAATTGCGTGACAGATATCTTCCCAGCACTTGCCTTGCTGAAACACAACCCCATCGTCCAATTCAACCTCCGGTAACATCGAATCAGGAACGTGCGCATCCTGATACAGCGTCACTGATCCTCCGCGCCGCACAGGAAAATAGGAATCCTTCACGACGAAACGATCCGGACCCGGCGCAATGCCGGAGCGGTACAGAGGACTATCCTCGCAACTCGTGAATTTCATCTCGAGGCGCACAGCGCAATCAGGTTTGGGAGGTTTCCCAAACGAACCTATTATCGGAAACCAATCACTGATAGTTTCACCGGATTTGATCCTCTCGGCGGAAACTGTGGCGATTCCGATCATGTCCGCACCGAACATGTCGTTGTCCTTGACGTAGAACTCAACCTTCGAGACCGGGTGAGCCAGAGGGATCTTGAAATGCTCGCTCCAGGTGGGATTCTGCGAGTTGGAGATGACGCGGGTGCGTGCCACCGTGGCACCGGCGAGGCAAACGGTGACGTAAGGATCGCTGGTGATAATCTTGGCGGGATGGTGACGGTGATGTTGATCCTTCTTTTTACCGGTGATGGAAGCGCTGCAGGTGTTGAGAGCGGAGAAGAATCTACGAACGCGCTCTGAAAGCATGTCCATGTTTGGTAGATATCTAGCCTCAACGATTCTCAAATCGAGGTTCCCGTGAAGGTAGACCACGGTGTCCGATTTATGAACCCCCATTGATTTGCAGAGAATGAGGGAGAGTGATAGGGAGCGTTGAATAATGCGAAACGCAAACGCTCACTATCACAGATCGGCGTTACGGACGGCTATAGCATTATTTCATTAATTACTTTCTCCCGGCGACGTAACCGTATGACACACACGAATAGAAAAGGAGCCAGCGGGAAAGACAATGAGGTAGCAGGATTGGCCACCTGTTCTATTGCCCCTTGCTTCTATTTTTGAATAATCTTGAATAAATGAACACGTGTACGTGGCAGGATTAGCAGAAGAAGCAAGCCGTTCTCTGTTTACAGCTTATACAACAACTTAGGTCAGCACACGATAAAGGTCCTTTTTTTATGGGGTCTTTTATTTAATTTGTGCTCATGACTACATTAAATGACGTCAACTTCAGAAAGGTAGATTTTCATCTTCCATCACTTTTTGCTATTGGATTACATATTGCATAATTATCTGTTGAATTTAATAGAAATTATAGACGGTACACTCGGAGGCTGTTTGGATGAATTTTTGAAAAAAGAATATTTTATGTATTTTTTTTAATTTTTTTTTAAAAAATAAAGTTATTTTATTTTTAGATGTATAATCTGAAAATTACTTTTACATAAAAAAAATCATTTGGATATTAAAATAAAAAAAAAAGAACTTTTTATATTCAAAATTATAAAAGAGGACATTAATGGGAAGAGCATTAATGTTGTATTCACTTTCTTATTTGTTGTGCGGCTTGGTTTCTGTGTTTTCTTGCTTATGTGAATGTGGCTTAAAAAAAAAAGGAAGAAGCAAAAAATCAAGGACCAAAGAAAAAAGAAGAACCAAAAATAGCAATTGTAGGATGAGGAAGACGAAAGAAAATGGTATCTTAAAGAAGAAAACGTAGGAATGAAAATAAAAGAGATATTTGATTGTAAAGTAATATGTTGTTGTAGCTAACAAAAGAAATGATAGTAGGATAGGGAGAGTGATGGAGAGATAATAGGCTGATAGGATAAGATTAAATTTGTATTTTAAAAATTTATATTATCTTTTAGATTATACTTTTTTCGAAAAGCAATCAACTATTGGCTAAAAAAAACATCATTTTAACTTTTATTTTAAATTTTGATTTTTTAAAAAATTGTTATCCAAACATCTAAAAATAATCAAAATAATTGTTTTTAAAAAAAAAGAGATTATTGTAGAAATAAAAGTCAATCCAAACAGACTCTTTTTGTTTTTTTATTTAATTGATATGTCTTCCGACTATTCTCAGGGTGAAATAACTGATATTTACTATCATTTTGTTTTTTTATTGATTGAAATAAAAACAAATAATAGTATATTAAAATATTAACGAAAGCTACTTTATAGTGACAGTTTAATTTCTTTTGTTGTGCGGCGCGGATTCAGATGAAGGTCAACGCTATGCTGGCACCTGCCAGTATTTAAAAGGAGAACTATGTTTAACAACTACATGCTAGGGTTAATTATTTGACTATCCAAAAATCATTCAGAAACATTATATTGCACTTCCACATCTTTATAACTATTTCCAAATTGCAACAGCCAACAACATAACAAAATGGCAATGCACATAAAAATCAAAATTTAGCTTTGTATATTTTGATCTAAAGCCCAGACGGACAGACAAAGAAACGGAATGCCATGTAGTATTAAAGTGTGAAAGCTTATTAAATATCTACTTCTAGGAATAGACTTCTTCAACACGTTTCCTCATCAAAAGCACTGCTGAAGGCAAAACTTGGATAGATGAGGAACGGTTCCACTTTGAGGAAATATTCAAGATCTTTAAAATTAGGGCTCCAATCAATTTATGTGCGTCTAACTCAAAATGGGAGGAACCACTCTAAGCATCATACTCTGAACAAAAGATACCATCTGCAAGACATGACAGAATCATACAGAGAACAATATAAAAATAAAAGTCAGCGAAGATATATACGGAAACACATAAAAATAAAGTAAATCTGGCCAAAGTGTGCTTCAAAAATTATAAGAATACGTAGAACAGAAGCTTTGGAGCTGAAAGGGACCAAACACAGAACTACCGTACATAACTCTGCACCTACGGGTACAGGTAAAACGGCAGTATCCCAAGGAGTCAGAAAAGAGGCTATTCCACCAAGGATGGATGCTGGTAATAGAAATGGAGAAGTACAGCAGGGGCAGAACAATACTGCAAAGTCCTTTCATAAAAAGGGTAATCTACCTTCGACCGTCAAAAAGGCTGATAACCTCGATAAGGGGGACAAGGCAGAAAAGGCAGGCTACCAAAAGAGTCAACATGCGCATAAAGGCAAGAGCATAGTAGAAGTTGACCTGGGAGAAGGTCAGTTAAGGTCTGATGCTGCGACAAGCAAGGAGATTACAGATTTTGCAGGGTCAAGAGTTAACACGATTGAGGCAAACACTCCTGTCACCAAGAAACAACCAGACGCTTTGGAGCTGATGAGAAGATATTATCAAGAAAACCCTCATCTAGCTAAAGAGATTAACGACAGCATCCTACAAGGGGCAGGTATGCCCCTTAGCCTCCAATGAAAGGACCTTGGTCCCTCTACCCCACCTTTTTGTTGTTAATGTTATTAATGAATATCTGTGCATGGAACTGTCGTGGGGCAAGCAAAAAAGGTTTTGTTTCTCTTGTCAGAGATATGTTAAAAAAATTTGATATTAAGGTGCTGGCGTTAACAGAGGTTCATATCAGTGGGCCCACTGCTGAGAGAAAAATAAAACAAATAGGGTTACAAGGTTACCACATCAATGAAGCCATAGGCTTCTCTGGGGGTATTTGGGTCCTCTGGGACCCAGGGGCAGTGGACGTTGATGTTCTGGCTTTTAACCGCCAATTCACCCACGTGACTCTTAAATGGCTTCATTCCACATTAACAGAATATGCTACCTTCGTCTATGGCTATCCTAGACGCATGGAAAGGAAAAGTCTCTGGGATGACCTTATTGCCATCAGTCACGGTGTGGAGGGAGCTTGGATCGTCCTAGGGGATTTTAATGCCATACTGACTGATAACGAGAAAGTTGGGGGGAATGTTGCCTGTCATAGCAGTATCTCAGATTTTCGTAACTGCATAAGTGAGTGTGCCCTTTCTGATCTGGGATTTAAAGGCCCCCAGTTCACCTGGAAACGTAACAACTTACGTGAAAGGTTGGATCGAGCCATCTCTAATGAAAGCTGGACGTATTCCTTTTCCAACAGACATGTCCTCCATCTTCCCCATTTTAGTTCTGACCACAGACCTATTTTAGTTTGGGAAGGAAGACAAACACTCCCTGATACCGTCCATAGACCGTTTCGGTTTTTGGTTGCCTGGTTAGCCAACGATGGTTTTGAAGATATTATTCGGGACTGTTGGTCCGATAATGCCTCGTGGGGTACAGCTCAGAATAAGTTCCATCAGCAAGCAAAATGGTGGCCCAACAATTGCTTCAAAGCCCATCTTATGAAAAAAAATCGACTCCATGCTCGTATAGCTGGTCTCGATATGGAACTGCATAATCACCCCACCAATGCCCTAGAGGTCCTACAAAGAAAACTCTGGGATGAACTGAATATAATTTATCTTCAAGAGGAAGTTACCTGGTTTCAAAAATCAAGGTCTGAATGGTTGACCAACGGTGATAGAAATACGAAATTCTACCACGCTGCTACTATGACCAGGAAGCGCAGAAACAAAATATTGACACTGAAGGACGAGGATGACAATTGGATAGGAGAACCTTAAGCCTTGAAAAATATGGTTATAGGATTCTTTGAGAAGGTGTACACCAATGAAGGAAGTAATATTACTCCCTTTCCTATTTCTGGGTGTTTTCCAAAGATCACCAGCCCCTCTTTTCATCAGTTGCACTCCATACCGTCGGATTTGGAAATCAAACATGTCTTCTCCTGCATGAACCCCTACAAAGCCCCGGGACCCGATGGTTTACATGCCATCTTCTTTCAGTCCCAGTGGAACATCATAGGCCAATCTGTTTGCAGTCTCATCAAAGATATTTTTGCTGATCCGAGTAAGCTTCGCCCTTTTAATAAGGCCTTGCTTTGCCTCATTCCAAAAGTTGAGAATCCAGATTCTGTTAAGAAACTCCGCCCCATAAGTCTATGCAATGTCATTTCAAAGGCTGTCTCCAAGATCTTGGCTAACCGACTAAGACCTCACCTCAGTTCCCTTATTCTCCCTAACCAGTGCAGCTTCATTAAAGGGAGGAACAGTACGGATAACATAATAATCGGCCAAGAGATCATTCATTCCATGAACATTAAGAAGGGCCAAAAGGGGTGGATGGCCATCAAGGTTGACCTTGAGAAAGCCTACGACAAGATCAACTGGGATTTCCTCAACCTTTCATTACTGGAAGCTGGTCTGCCCACTGATGCAGTGAAGATGATAATGGAAACGGTCTCTAATTCTTCCTTGAATGTTTTTTGGGAAGGCTCAACAACTAGGGAGTTCCATCCAACTCAGGGGATCAGACAAGGAGATCCCCTATCTCCCTATCTTTTCGTTTTGTGCATTGAGCGTCTAGCCCACCTCATCTCGCATGCGTTACAAAATAAAAGCTGGAAGCCTGTGATATTAAAAAAGGACGGTCCTCCCATCAGCCATCTTTTTTTCGCTGACGATTTGCTTCTCTTTGCAGAAGCATCTCTAGAACAAGCAACGATTATTGAGAGGATCCTGGCGTGTTTTTGTCAAGCTTCGGGGCAGAAAATAAGCACTGACAAATCCAGAGTCTTCTTCTCAAACAACGTCCATCACTCTAGAGCAACTGAGATTACCCAGAAGCTGGGATTTCCTATGACTGCCAACCTTGGTAAATACCTGGGCATACCTCTCATGCATGGTCGCTCTAGTGCAAGTCACTTTAATTACATCCTTAACAAGCTGGATGCTAAGCTGTCCAACTGGAAAAGAGGCTCACTTTCAATGGCGGGAAGGACAACATTGGTACATTCTGTGCTATCATCCATCCCAACATACACCATGCAATCTTGCCTCTTGCCTGCCAGAACCTGCGACGAAATTGAGAAGCGTTCACGGGATTTCTTGTGGGGTTCTAGCAACGACAAGAAAAAAATCCACCTCGTAGCTTGGAATCGCATCTGTCAGAACAAGAATAATGGAGGGCTAGGGATAAGAAACATGAGGAGTATGAACCAAGCTCTTCTTATGAAAGTTGGACATGGCATCTTAACTCGGAAGCACAGCCTATGGGCACAAGTCCTCAGGAGTAAGTATGGGATAAGGGAAGGACTGATTCCCGACATAAACCACAAGAGACAGGCCTCCAATCTCTGGAGAGGTATTGTGAAGGTGTGGCCCCAGGTGGTAATGGATTCTAGGATCCAACTTGGAAGTGGTTCAAACACCCTTTTCTGGAAAGACCGTTGGCTCATCAAGAGTGAAGGTGTTAACCCCAGAGATTCGATCGACATTCCACCAGAAATTCAGGATTGGACAGTAGATAAATTTGTGAACAATGATGGTGACTGGAACTGGGACCTAATCAACCAATTTGTCTCGGAACAATCCTGTAAAGCCATAGGAAACATCATGCCACCTTTGCCTCATGAGGGTCACGATTTAGTTATATGGGGGCTAACTGGTGATGGAACTTTCTCAGTCAAGTCCGCTTATGAATCCCTCCAGGGCCAAAATCTTCCGCAGGTTGGCTTCGATGTTGTCCCGTGGAGATGGCAGGGTCCCGCCCGCATACAAATGTTTCTTTGGAAAGTCTTAGGAGGCTACTTACTTACTAATATGGCTAGAGCCAAAAGAAATCTCACTACCTGTGCCCTCTGCCCCAGATGTAATCGTGAGCCTGAAGATGTGATTCATACTCTAAGGGACTGCTATTGGAGTAAAGAAGTTTGGCTCTGCCTCCTCCGAAATTTTCATATTCCCAACTTCTTTGAATCTAACACCACGGACTGGGTGCAGTCCAACCTGAAGATCAAGAAAGTTTTCGAATCTCATTGGAATTGGAGTCAGATTTTTGGAATTGCCACTTGGTCCATATGGAAAGCCAGAAATGAACTTGTATTCAACCAGAAAGACCAGAACCAATCAGCCTTGATTAGGAGTGTCAAGATCTACGCTACCAACCTAAACGAGGCGCAAACTAAGATGGGATTCTTACGGTCATGCAGACGTGAGAAAGTGGAAAAATTTATATGCTGGACCTTCCCACCCGATGGCTGGATGAAACTGAATGTTGATGGATCTAGTACGAGAGGAGGCGAACAATCCAGCTGCGGTGGAGTCATCAGAGACGATTCCGGAAAATGGATCACTGGCTTCAGCAGAAATTTGGGAAAAGGATCTCCCCTGAGAGCTGAACTTTGGGGCCTCCTATGTCGCATCCATTTAGCATGGGACATCGGTTGCAGAAGCATCTGGATCGAAGGGGACTCTTTAGTGGCCATTAACCTGATTATGGAGGGCTGTGACTCATGCCACCCATCAGCCCCCTTGGTTAGACGTATAAATTACTATTTACAGAGGAACTGGTCCACCAAGTTGAGTCATACGTTAAGAGAAGGGAACAAGGTGGCAGACTGGCTAGCCTCCCACGGCAGCAATTGGAGCGACTGGGATATGCATGTCTTACACGAACCTCCCACTGACTGCTGCATTTTCTTAAATAGGGATTGTATGGGCACCACTAGCCCAAGACTTTGTAACCGTTTTTAAGTTAATTCCGTATCTTTCAACAAAAAAAAAGATACCATCTGCAAGACATGACAGAATCATACAGAGAACAATATAAAAATAAAAGTCAGCGAAGATATATACGGAAACACATAAAAATAAAGTAAATCTGGCCAAAGTGTGCTTCAAAAATTATAAGAATACATAGAACAGAAGCTTTGGATACGGAAACAAAATAAAATAGAAGCCTCCTAGCTTGCATTAATAAATGTCAAAGTGGCAGAACCTCACTCAGATGAGTTAGATCGAGAATTGTATTGTATGTACAACCAGAAAGTACTGAGGCATATAATCTAGTTTACCTATTAGTATTGATAACTATCTATGGTCCAGTCTTGGCCTTTGTTGGAAAATTAAAAAATCCAACACCAGAAGAACATTATAAAGCTACTTTCATGAGGTGTTCCTGTATTCTGTGAATGGATCGCCACAGTTCAACTCTATACCAGACCTATAGTAATTACTATCCACATCCAGTCAAAATATCCATCACAGTTGGCATTTAATCATGGAGATTCGCCGAGACAAGGAGAACAACAGAAATCTGGACTCCAATATCACACACACACAAAAAAGAATAGAGCGCTTCAATTAAAGTTAAGTTCTTACCGAAGCAAATCCTATGCACATTATGCTGAAGCCAGGAAAATTAAAAGGGGCCCTTTCAGATAGGAAGAGAGCTGAAAAATGAGGAGTGTTTATTAATAAATTTGAGTGGTAATCTGAACCTAATACAGCAAAAGGACATTCTTCTCACCCGTTAATGGAGAGAAAGCCAATGGAGAAACAATATGTGCAACTGAACATATGCCTGAGATGCAACCTTGAGCCCTTCCCTGAAAGAAGATAAGAGAAAAAAAAATTGAACTGAACAGACTTGGACCTGTCTATCAAAAATTGGAAACTGAATAAACAAAGAGCACTCTATTATGCAAAACTAAGCTATTTTTTCCTCCATCAAAAGTTAAGTAAATTGTACTCATGTCCTATGATGCACTGACCGACACGGGACACGACACGATACGACACGCCGACACGTTAATTCTAAAAAATGTCATATTTCGACACGTTAAGACACGTTTTGATATTAAATAATATTTTTAATATATATAATATAATTTATATTTAATACATAAAACAGTCCATAATAAGTCATATAATCAATCAAATGTTCAAATTCCATAACATAAATATAAAGCAAAAGTAATTTTTCATACCTTGTTAATTTTTTATGTCAAATTCCATAACCGAAAAAAAATTGACTTATAAATTAATTTTTCATTTTTAGTTAATAAAATAAAATATAGACCTTAAAAAAACAAAAAAAAAAAACATGTTGGATGTGTGTCGGAGCGTTGACTGTGTGTCGAAAAAAGTTGACCGCGTGTCGGAAACACGTGTCAGAGCGTGTCGGAACGTTGACCGCGTGTTTGAACGTGTCGGTGTCCAACACGTAAATTTTCAAAAGAAACCCGTGTCCGTGCATTTTAGCTCATGTCTGCCTCTTAAGTGTGTTCTTGGGTACCATTTGAATTTGATTTACATGCCAACTCTAAGAACAGTAAAGAAAAAATAATTCATATGAATTGCATAACTACAGCCCTAAATTTTACTATTAACACAATACCCATAAATGAAGAGCAAAGAGCTATAAATCATACTATTAGCTACGCCCTCACATCAAACTATTAACATGATACCAGCTCATAGGGACCAACTTGTTTCGACACAATACTCTATCTGCAAATTGAAATTTGACTCTACCTCTTAAATGGAACAAAACTCAAATTATTGCAAGCCTTTCTATCATTAAGGATAAAGAAAATAAATACTAGCTAAATTGGAACCACTGCTGAAGAAAAAATTTCTTCTCAAGACCTCATTTACCAATTTAATGTTAATAAGCCAAATTCAAGCTAGCACACTTTCGAAAAGAATTGATGATGAGATGCCTCTCATTCCACTTCTACAGCCAATGTGGTATCTTTTAAGTTATAGTTTACACAATAACATCTTTTGTTTTTGTTTTTTGTTTTTTGTTAATGTTGTACGGTACTCTATAAATATTAGAGAAAAGTTCACCAATGCCCCTGTGGTTTACTTCAGAATCACCTATGCCCCTATGGTTTGATTTTTATCACATATGCCCCTGTGGTTTGCAAAAGGTAAAACTATCATATTCTTTTGCTTAAAACTGTTAAATATAACTTTACTCTTTCAATTTCACCCCTGAAAACATTATTTAATAAAATAAATCTTAGATTCATGAGAGCTTGGAAAGTACCAGAATTTCATCAGATGCATAAGAAAAGTTGTGCCAAAATAAAAAATAGGTTCACTTATGTTATTCTATCTATACTGCAGAGTTCTTACTCACTTGACTTGGGAAGATTTTGTACAGGATATGGAATTAGAGTTATCTCATACGTGGTAACTAATTGATAACCATGAAACTTTTGTTTATTTTTCATTTAGAAAGTTTAAGCGCATGCCGTTTAACTTACTTGATTATATTTACATGTGGCATCTACTATATAATATTTCTAATAAAAATCAGCAAAATGGAACAGGTTCCAGTATATATAGCAGAAAGTAGCACCCAATAATCTACGACGAGGACTTGCAACAACAAATCAGGTGAGGGAATATTAAGAATTATTGTATTTTGTTCTTATTTTTTTTGGGTATATTGTATTTTGTTCTTTGATTAAAAGTTGAGTATCATTGAGTTGAATTTGGCATTGACTCTGATTGATTTGCAGCTTATGATTGTTATTGGAGCATCAGTCTCATTCTTAATGGGAAGTGTCATAAGTTGGAGATAATTGGCACTAGCAGGTAAGTGATAACATTAATTTTGAATTGTTGCCTAGGGTGTAAAAAATTATGGAGAAAAAGGTCTAACTGTTCTTGGTTTGAACGTTGAAGGGCTAGTGCCTTGCATTTGCTTGTTGATTGGTTTGTGCTTTATCCCTGAGTCTCCAAGATGGCTGGTAAGCATTAAGCTATAGAATCTAAAGACCAATGTGCTCCTTTGTTTTCTTCTCCAAGATAAGCATAAAAAGAAGATGGCAATGCAAATTAATAAACTGGACAATTTTTTTTAGGCAAAGGTTGGCCGTGAAAAAGAATTTCAAGTAGCTTTAAGGAGACTTTTATGCATTTGATAAAATTCTGGTACTTTCCAAGCTCTCATGAATCTAAGATTTGTTTTATTAAATAATGTTTTCAGGGGCGAAATTGGAAGAGTAAAGTTATATTTAACAGTGTTAAGCAAAAGGATATGATGGTTTTACCTTTTGCAAACCACAGGGGCATATGTGATAAAAATAAAATCATAGGGACATAGGTGATTCTGAAGTAAACCATAGGGGCATTGGTGAACTTTTCCCTAAATATTATTCACCACATCACATATTCTGTTAATATTTTTAACAACTTTCCATTTATCTAAACACCTTCCACCTAGAAAAAATCAGTTAAAAAGACTTATTCTAATTCATTTAGCTGCTGCTACATGCACATTGCACGAAAGTGTCAGTGCACAAGAATGTTTGTATGCCACACTTAAAGCTACATATGTTACAAGTTACAATATCATTTACTATAGTCCCACTGACCTCATTTTCTTGCAGGAAACATTCATGTACATTGACTCCATGCAAAAGGAGTGACCCAAAAGAAGAAGACTTGGCTTAAAAGATATATTGACCCTCCAAGGCCCCAACAACCATATGGAGAAAGCCAGTCAAAACACAGAATTCTGATTGACAGCGTTAGTTATCACTTGATAATTTCTTAGCTAAAAGGAATTGCAACATCATTTGAAGTGTTACTGCTATGAATTGCCGATTACAAATGTCAAGACTTACTGTTTAGTAATTATATGCCTTTAAGTTTATTATAAGTTTTATATAATTTATAGACAACAGACAATTAGCATTTATAATTCTGCAGTCTAAGTAACTTCTCTTCCTTCATGTTTGACAACATTATCACATCTATAGAATATATTTGCACTATTTGAATTAAGAAAAGATTTCATAAAGAGAAAGCTTTTCTTAACAGCCAGAGAGAGTGGCTTTCTTTAACCTTAAAGTTTGCAACATATTTCAAATCCTATATATTTCTTCAAATGTATAAATTTTAATCACCCATTAAAAATAAATAAAATATACACAGAAACACGAAAAAGAAAAAAGAAAAAAAGAAGACATATTATGAAATATTTGTCTTCTTCAAATTAAATCAATATCACTTTTCAGTTAACATTGTTGAGTATAGTACTCCTATCTTTATCATCCTATCAACTTATTTTATGCAAAAAAATTTTGTTCCCCATTTTTCGTGCATCACACGTAAAAGTTACCAGCACTATTAACATGATACCTGCTCATGAGGACCAACTTGCTTAGACACAATACTTCGCATCTGCAAAATGCACAAATAAATTACTCAAAATAATGTTTTGAACAAATAGTTTATTGAGGGCCAGGCGAAAAATAAAATTATCCATTTAAAGGATAATATGGAAACTTAGAAAGATAAAATGAGGAAAGGAACTCACACAGGGCTGTGAGAAAACAAACAAGATTGAGAACATTGCAGCAGCATAAGGAACCTGTCAACATTTACACGTTAGCAATTATACAACGTAAAAAGAGGTGGGGGCGAAAAGGGATATTACAAGCATATACAGGCACAAATAATTAAAGAAATTACGGCAAGTTTCACTTGTAATTATACTACATACTGAAAAATAATTAACAGAAACAAACTTTTAATTAGCAATAGAGTATCAAAAGACATACCCAGGAGGACCATGCTATGCTGTAGAGGAACATCTGCATTGCAATCCATATTGCTAATTTAGAACTTCACAAATGAGTGACTTTTTTATGATATCACAAGAAGCAAAATGCTTACATGTATGCAGTTAAAGAATAGTCCAATTGAAAGCAGCCTTGCCTCACCCAGAGTAGGAGCCAAAATGGGCATAAGAAGAAGCTGTGACAACCAATGTTTAATTAGATTCACAATAATAAGAAAGAAACTGAATATTTATGTCAGGACAAAAGGCAAACCGTACAGTTTACAACTTAAATATAGCCATGCAAAATTTACCTGCGACACAGTCGCCGCAATGTTAGAAATGACCATCAAGTCAGCAAACTGATTCTTGTCAAAATGAAACCTAGCCTTTAAGTAATACTGCCCAAAACGAAAATGTGCTATCACAGACCAAACTTCAAAGTTTTAATTTATGTAAAAAAAAATCCTGTTTTATCATGAACTTGCCAAAGAAAGGATGTAATAATAAATTCCAGATGGACTCGGATACTCCTCAAAGAAAAAGTTGAAAGATGTAAGAAATTAAAGGTCAGCAAACTGCTGCTTAGAGAGATTCAGAAGCCTATAGCAATATATGGCTTGAAACAGCCAAGAGAGGTATTATGATTGAAGATATAAAAATACAATAGCACTTGGATACTGGAAAATTTGGTTTGAACATAGTGAACCAGATTCAACAACAAGGAAGCTTGTATCATCATTATCAAAACCCAAAAAATATGAATAAGCTTCAATGCATGCTTTGGCAGTGATATAAAAATGTGTAATCCTTTACAAAAATTGAACCTCAAAAACCAAAATAGATCAACGTAAAATATATGTCATATGACATCTAGACTATATGATAGAACTTGAACAGGATAAAAAATTCAAAAGAATAAATACAAGGAGGGAGAAAATCAGAAATTACCATCATTGAACCATGAAGGCCAACATCTGCAAGGTTGCTGAAGAATGCAACAATTGCTGCTTGGGTAATAGTCAAGCTGCAAATTTGAGTGTACATGTACAATTATGACAAACAAAACAAGAATACCTGTTTGTCAAGATGCAATTAATATTCTATAATCATCAAATCAGGAATACTTACTTTTTAACTTGCATTGAATAAAAGTATAGAAGTTGAAAGATATACGTACACCTGTCTTCACGATGCGAATAAATAGAAGTAGATTTATTTGATGAAAAAGAGTTCTGATGTTTTAGCATATCGTATGTAATTCGAAAAAGTAATTACTAATTACACGAATTTTAATACATAGTAACGATGTAGTTAAAATGAAAGTTTAAGATATCAAGATAGATTAATTATTTGTAGGTAATTTTATTATCCCCTGAATCCTTCCTATTTATAGTGCATTAGTGCGGAAAAAGCAAGGAAACTTTCCTGGATTCGGCACGAAAGGATAAATAAACAAATAAATAAAGCAGAGTAGAGGAAGGAAATTTGCCCCACCTACTGTTGAGGAAGGAGTTAAGGTCCAACAAAGAACACAGTGCTTTAAACAGCTGCAAGTTGCTTTTCGGTTTTTCATCGATTTTAGCAATTGAGGGCTTTCCTTCTGAAATGATTGGGGTATAAAGGTGGTTATCATCGACGACCGAATCCCGAAGGAAAATTCGCATGTACAACGCTCCGATCACCGCGACAAGAGTGGAAACCTTATTAAAGGAAGACACAATTGATAAGACAGATTGGGATGAAGATGCAATAATCAGAGAGAAAAAAGAGAATGAAAGATGTGTAATAAGCACCTGAAAAGTTAGGGCAGTAGATAGGAATCGAGCTGATAGTGTGCCGCAGACGAACGCGGCGGACCCTATCCCCGAAAGAATACCAAACGCAGTGCCTCGCCGAGCTTCTGTAACGTTATCTGCCTGAAAAATGGAAAACGAAAACAAAATGGAGGGAAAGTAAACATAGGGGTCACACTACCCTAGACGAGTACCCTCTAATGTTTTAATTAAAAAGTAAAAATAAAAGGAATTTAGTGACATTAATAATACAATAATAGATATAATTTATGTACACCTATATTTTGACTAGTTATCAAATTAAATTAATTACATACTAAAATCTTAAAGTTACATTACAGTCCTCTTTATATGTGGGAACTAATCGGAGTGAAAAAGAATATTGATACAAACAGTTATTGCTTTTCAAATAGGATTATAATAATATTTTTTGCACATCAAATAAATTTCATTAATTTCACACTATTTTTATTTGAGGAAAATAGTGAGAAATTTACCACGTAAGCTAAAGCCAGGCAAGGAACGCTTCCGTCGCAAACCATGGCAATGAGTATCTTAAACACGTAGTACACGTAGAAGAATTTTGTCGTCCTGCTGTAAGCTAATATGCCTGTAAAACAGCCAGCAGACACGAACATTTAACAATCATCATCAATCCTGAACTACATATAAAATATATATTATTATTTAAATTTATAATATTGAAGTATTAAGTATATTTAACTTTTATAATAATTATAAAATTTAAATTTTATAATAATATGTTAACATAAGTAATTAAATAATAATATTAAAAAGCTCTGGTCGAACAAGAGAAAAATTTATTTTATAATTACGTGTGTAAAAAATATTTTAAAATCATTCAATTTTTATTTTTAATAACTTCATCTTAAAATATTATAAGTCAATTTCATTAACTTCATCTTATACTTATCATCAGTTTAAAAGTTTTTATCATATAGATTATATTTATAAAATATTATATTAATTCATAATTTTTTAGTAATAATATATTAATTTTTGTTATATAATTTGTACTTTTATAAGAAAATATATGAAAATAAGAATTATTTGATTATATTTTTATTGTTGTTCAATTTTCATAACACAAGTAATCAAACAAATAAATAATTATAATTTAAGAGTTGGGTCAATAAAATTCATATTTTATAGAAAATCATTATATATATATATATGGGGTATATTTTTCTCATGTTACATGAGATAACATCCCCTTCTACTCATACAAGTTGTGCTAGCATTTATTTATTTACTTACTTTTTTTTAAAAGAGTGGGTCCCACATGCTTTGTGTCTATAGCATAAGATAATAAGTCTCCTACAACATGAGACTTGTATTTACCTATATATATATATATATTGAAATGAAAATTCATACCTCCTCATCTAACAATACATTAAATTAAAACTATTGCAGGCTATATTTTTTTTAAAAAAGAAATAAAGAAATATATAAATAAACTATTGTAAAACACGATCGCGACCAATTAAACAAAGGGTTATATTAGTATAATGTTATATGAAAAATAATGTTTGTTCCAACACAAACATAAAAGAAGAAAGAGAAAGTGAGTTTAGGAAAGAGAAAAGAAAAAATTGTACACCCCATAAGTTTTTGTTTGGGTAAAAAAACAACTTTAAATCATGTTACATGATACATACATTTCCCTTAAACAAAACAATGGAACTATGGAACAAATTGAACACAGAAGTACCTGTGGGGATAATTGTGAGGGCCATAGGGAATGTGAGAATGGCTTTTCTACCATACTTATCTGACAGATTCCCCAAGAGCGGCATCATCACAAGCGTTCCTAGTCCTATCATCTGCACAAATCATAGTTCGCCCCACCCCCACACGGACTAAGTTATAAAATACTCATATTGATATTATTCAATAATACAAGAATTAAAAGGGAACAAATGCAATGAAAAGAGTGATTAGCACACGAAATTTGGTTTTAAATTCTTACTCTCCATCATAGTATCATACACGCAATTTTACTGTTGAAAAGCATTCATCATTTCTGTCGTTTTTTTAATACTCTTAAATTAATTATTCATCAAACATAATTTTCAAATTACTTATTCATTATTTATTTTTTTATCAATTTTTTTCATCTTCTTTGAGATTAAATTCCTCATGTTTCTAGTATGAGCTTCTTCAAAATTTAAATGAGATTAGATATGATATCTAAATTAATTATTAAACAATTTATATTTATATATTATTATATTTGATAATAATTTTTTAAGAGTAACTTAATTTCTTAATCTATTTTTTTATAAAATAATACATATCATTCTTAACTTTTCTTTCTTAAAATTAAAATTATTTGAAATTTATTATGTATATTTTATTTATAATTTCAAATATTATTTATCTCAAATGTTTTTTAATACATGCTTTTAAAATTTTAATTAAATTTTATAAACTTTCATATAATACACAAGATAACTGCTGATTTGTAATAAAATCAAATGATCGAATAAAACGCATTAGATTTCATATAATGAGATAAAATGTGATTGTGAGCTTGTTTCCTATATTATACATCATAATTGAAAAGCTTGTCTTAGATTATTAGAGTATAAACATGAAAAAAAAGGAAAATATGATAGAATGATTTTATTTCTTGATCAACAATAGATAGGTAAATTTAATTTTTAAATGCCTATGTTCACGTGGAGCCATTGGGGTGTTGAAGTATGTCCTCTACTTAGCTGTTCACATTTGCGCTCAACAGGGCCATTTTGTTTTTTAGTTTGATCTTTCCATTGGGCCCAATCAAAAAAGTTTTGTCGATCAAAATAAAAACTCATGACTCCATATAAAACAAAGACAGTCGAAAAAGTATGAAAAACCACGAAAACTCCAGGAAAAAGCATTGCGATGCATCTCACTCAAACAGCTGAGCAGTGGGCCAACCGTGACGGTTGTAAGTTAGAGACAATGAGGGCCAACCGAAACCAGAAGGAAATTCTTTGGTTGAATGGGGACAAGTTAACTCACCAGTCTCACCTAAATAGATGCTGGGACGTTATCACGTTTAACTTATCCCAAATAATAGGATATGGCCAAGACTACGGAGCAATCATTGTTTGATCAATAAATTCAATTTGAATTTAATAAAAATATATTAAATAAAATTTATTTATCATAAAATGTTTTATGAGACACTAGAACTAGCAAGCAGTGACAGTTAAATAATATAGTATATAGTTATAAATCTTTGTTTAATTGTGATAAAAAATTTGATTTGATTAAACAATAAATATGGGTTGAATTCTTTATTATAAAATACATATGAAACATTTCATTTAATTACACTTTTTTAATCAATAATTCAATTGGAAAAATGAATTAAAAAGCTAATTCCACTAACAATATTTTAACTCACGGCTACAATGTATATTCTATCGATCACATGCAAGGAAATTACAATACAAAAATGCATCATATTGGGGGGGGGGGGGATTAAATCTCATGTTTATTAATCTAATATAAAATTAAATATATGATTTATTAAAGTGTGTGCACCGTGTGCAAATAACACTGCTAAGTCAAGAGAAAATGAGAGACTTTAGTCGATTACTAAGTTATTTTTCCAAAGAATAAAATCGATTAAAAAAAAAAAAAAAATCGATTAGCAGAAATATGCATGTTGCATTAAAACTTTTTTAAGTCGAATTATATAAATATCCACATATGGAAAAACTTAATAAAAGCATATACACTAAATTTGTTGCCAAATGTCAAGGTAAGTGGACTTTTTTGTATATCAAGATAAGTGGTTTTATTTGTTCAATAACAGTTCTTATTTGTTCCTTTGTAATTTTATTAATGCTTATTAATTAGAAGTTGTAAAACAAGCAGTTCAGATTCTCCAAGAAAAAGAAAAATAAGTTTAGATTAAAAGCTTAAAGTTTCTAACAAGTAACAACATATTCCAATCCCACTTACACTCAATATAATATATACCTAATCACTGATTAGTCGATTTCCAAAATAAGGAACAAACCCCAGATCATAGAAAGCAAAATGAGTGAAGAAGGTAGAGTTTACTTGTATACAATATTGCTGGAACTCACCGCTTGTTGAAAACCAGTGAGGTAGATGGCAAGTGAGCATTCATCTTTTCCGGGACAAAGCGCAGCCATTGTGACATCAGTGATGGCTGGTATCACCATGTGTGACGAGAAGTTATGAAGAAAGACAGTCATGAAGAGATGACTCAATCCATTCAACTTGTCCATAATTCTCCCTCTTACTTTTGCTCTCTCGGCTTCCTGATTTGGATTTTTGACAAAGAGCTATAGCTAGAATTCTCAGTAAGATACTAACTGTCTTACAAGGAAAGCCACCGTTCTCTCTACATATAAGCAATATTCACTTAGAAGCACCGTATGTATATATATATATATGAGTAGGACCTCTCAAGCTAATCATAAGAGCAAGTGTAGTGTACTCTTGCGATTGCTTTACGTAACATATCGCAATTGTGCATGTCAACAAGTAACACGGTGACAGCAAGAGGTTAATAAGTAAAAAGGACTGAAGTTATATACTGCTTTTGCTCTGAAGGCCTTTTATTTCGATACACTGATCAGTGACAGTGAGACGATTTTTAGCCGCATAGTTGAACCTCTATTTTTTATTTTTTATTCTTTGTTAAGTTTTAACTTGTGAAAACTATATATATTGACAAATATATAGGAATGCGTAGCTTCTAAGATAATACAAATAGCCAGCATTAACTTACCCCTTGAAGCGTGCAAGTTTTATGCAAACCATTTTTCAACAGGCAGACAACGTCCAAGTGGGCCAAACTCATCTCATGGCTAGTGAAACTCAGGGTTAATTTATGGATTATTAGTTATTACTGTATATAGCTTGATAATAGCTCAGCTAAATTAAGTAGTTTACTTTTAGTTAAGTTTTTGTTAAGAGTCGTTAGCCAGTTTGGTAAGTGTACACGTGGCTCATTGTACATTTTTTACACCACCAAGTCTGTATATCAGCCCACTCAGCTAAGTCAATACAGTCAAAATTACCAATTTCCCCAAATCATAGTTTTAATATGGACATTCAAGAAGGGATTGAGTTTCCTAGGCTACATTGCAGACGTTCCTTGAGCTGTTCAGATCATAGTTTTGGAAAATCTTTACGATGGCTTTGGCTCTAATTGTATTATGCATTTTTCTCGTTGTTTTCCGACACCAAGCAATACACCATGACAAAATCAAGCCACACATAAGCTGAAAACCGTACTTAGCTTTTTGTATAGGGTTTTATTACTCTTATGTAATAGGAGATATATTATCTCATGTTGTAGATACAATCATGTAGTGGGTCCCATTGTTTATTAAAAAAGAAAAAAAGAAAAAAGAGAAACACAGAAATCGATGAGTGTGTAGGAAGTTATATTATCTTATGCAACATGAGAGTAATATAACCTTTTTGTATATTAGATCGTAAAGGCCTTGATTGTAAAATTGTTGCTTCAAGATGAGCTAAGCCAAGTGTCAGCTTACTCAAGAAGAGCATGTGGCGAGGGATTAGGGGTGTGCAAAAAAACTGGTTCACTTGCCCTGCCTTTGACTCGACCTTGACCTAACCCATAAATATCTATATTTTTTGAACTGATTTAAATATTGACCCACTTTTATTTGTGTCAGTTTTAGACCTGAATTGTTTTAATATTGATCCATTGACCCAAAACTTGACCCATACCCATTATATGAAAAAAGAAAAAGAAAATCACAATAGAAAAGTTTTAACATAAAATAATTACGTCAAAATTTTTTACGAAAAAAATTTCCATAAAAAATTTTAGCAAAATTTTTTGACGAAAAATATTTTCATCAAAATTTGTGACTAAAAACATTTCTCTAAAAAATTTGACGGAACATTTTTTTGTCAAATTTTTTTACAGAATATAAATTTCGTCAAAATATTTCACAAAAAAATATATTCATCAAAAATTTCGACGAAACACATTTCCATTGAAATTTTTTGACGGAAAAAAATTTCAACAAAATTCTTTACAGATTTCGAATTTCAACGGAAACATTTCCTTAAACTTTTAGACAAAAAAAAAATTCGTCAAAATTTTTAGCGAAAAATATTTCTATCGAAAATTTTCGACTAAATATTTTGTCAAGTTTTTTGATAGAAAATATTTCTATCAAAATTTTCAACGGAACACATTTCTGTAAAATAATTTCGTAAAAATTTTTGACAGAAAATATTTCGATAAAAATTTTGACGAAAAAAATATTCTGTCAAAATTCTTTAGAGAATCTAAATTTCGTCGAAAGTTTCGAATGAAACATTTCCCTCAAAACAATTTCCATCGAAAATTTGGACGAAACACATTTCCATCGAAAAAATTTGACGGAAAAAAATTTCATCAAAATTCTTTACAGATTTTAAATTTTGGCGAAAGTTTTAGACGAAAAAATTTTCGTTAAACTTTTTGACAAAAAAAAAAATCGTCGAAATTTTTAGCGAAACACATTTCCATCGAAAATTTACAACTAAATATTTTCGTCAAGTTTTTTGATAAAAATATTTCTATCAAAAATTTCTACGGAACACATTTCTGTAAAAAAAAAATTCGATAAAAAATTTTGATGGAAAAAATATTCGGTCAAAATTCTTTAGAAAATCTAAATTTCGTCGAAAGTTTCAAATGAAATATTTTTCTCGAAAAAATTTCCGTTGAGATTTTCGTCAGAACACATTCCCATTGAAATTTTGAACGAAAAACATTCTGTCAAAATTTTTGATAGATTTTTTTTTTCGTTTAAAACATTTGATGGAAGAAAATCATTTTGGTCAAAACTTTTGACGAAAACTAAATTTCGATAGAAAATTTATTTTTGTAAAAATTTTCATTAGAAAAAAAATTTCGTTGCTTTTCGACAAAAAGTATTCTGACGAAAAAATAATTTTGTGACGAAATTCTCGTCATTTGCAATGTAGAAATTTTGTGAGGAAACCAAGTCAAAAACGGGTCAGGTCAGATTTGACCCACTTCAGAAACCAAGTTAGACCCACTTCAGAAACCAAGTCAGGTCAGATCCGATCCAGTTCTGAACTAGTTCAACAAAATCCAAACCAAGTCAGACCTGACTTGGATCAAATTAAAGCGGGTCGGGTCAAAATACCTGACGTATAAAAACCAAGTTGGGTCAAGTCGGACAAAAACCTGATCCGACCTGACCCACGCACAGCCCTACGGGGGATTCACTACCAATGGGCTAAACTAGAGGAATCAGATCAAGTGGATCCGACATCATGTCATAACCCAAAACCTTAAGGCATTGGTTTCATAAATTCATCCACTTCACTTAGCCCATTACCAACAATTGTGGGACTCATCACATTTGAATATTCCAACAATCTCCCTCTCAAGTGTGATACCTAACATTGGTATATTTCTTCTCAACCAAGTACCCCAGGGCCCAGGTACTCAACCCATTTCCTAGCCAATCACCAGGCTAGCTAGAGCTCAACCTGGCTTTTATACCATTGTCATACAGACTGTAACACCCCGTATATATCTGGTAATGTTATCATACTATCGTATTAAGCTGCGCTTAATTAAAAATGCGGAATATCTTTTTCTTTTCAATTATGAAGTCATTATCATTACCAACTTGCTTATTAATCAATTAATAAAACATCACCTTTATGCAATTGCAATAAAACAGCTAACTGAAATACCTCATTAATTAAAACAACATAATGTATGTCTCTAGTTACGGAACTACAACACGTAGACCGAACCAACTATCAGTTTATACAACTCAACTCAAAGGTACTAACAACATAGTGGCATGGACAACTCCCATGCTCACCCAAATAAGGCAACAAAGCCCAACATAAGTCTCAACATCAACAACATAATAATAATGCGGAAAACATAAACAGCATCCAGTCCAGTCATGCTAGCAATTAAGCAGTAAAATCATCAACTAAGCTCTGGCCTCCTGCCGCCAGAGGCATCAGTCACCATACTACCTGAACCTGAAATAAGCATTCCCCAAACGTGGGGTGAGATCTCTAAACAAGAAATCTCAGTAAAACAAGGGGTCCTCAAGGGTCTTCCACCCCAAGCTCACTTACATGTGCAATATAAGTTTAAAAAGCAGTTCATCAATATCATTTCTAAAACAGTGCAATGCAGCAGATAATCATGTCATGTGTGTCAAGACTATTCTACTGGCCAGAGAAATGCAGGAATAAGTATACGTCTATTACCCACAATAAGTGCAAGATGCTACTTGCATCCACCCCGGATCACCGTCTTGTATAACGCCACATACTCAGGTTACCGTCAAGTTGGAACAACACATGCATATTAAAAGCCATTAACACATAAAGCTCAACAGCATTTCATATATCAAAAGCATGTATCACAGTATGCATATAACCATACCCCCATGGGACATGGTGGAACCACAACATGGCTAAACCGAGGACACAAAAGCTTACCTTGCAAGCTAACACCCAAAGCCAAGAGTCCACAGCTCAAAGTCCAAACACAGCAGATTCACAATCTGTTATGGACCAATAATATATCAATAAACATGCACTACAAGCATAAAATATTAAGACAACGTCTTTCCATTACGTTTTACGTCTTAAGGCTTCACACAAGCCATAAACCCTTAATCATATGATTCTGACTTACATTAATTAATTACAGAAGTTCAACTTCCTCAAACTAGGGTCCACAAACCCATAGATCAGTTCTGGATGAACAATACGCTACTGCTCCTCGCAAACCCAGAATATTCGGATATTCCTCAGGGACATATCGGGATATCCAATATCTGGATATCTCACAGGCAATATCCGGATATCCAATCCGGATATCACTCTGGCAATATCCGGATATCCAGATCCCCATATCCGGATATCAATATCCGGATATTCCACGACAAATATCCGGATATTTCGCGACAGAATGCAGTTTCTGCACTTCGCGAAGATATCCTTCCAAGGTTTCATTTTTAACACTTTCAGAAGCTTAAACATGCATCTTAAGGTTCATTGAGGTTCATATGACAGTTGGTTACTTGTTTAACTCATTAAACATACCAAGACACCATCTTTAAGCAACAAACTCAAGACCAAGGTTGGTACAACTTACCAAAGCTAAAACTCAGCAAAATGGGTGCTTTTAGAGCTCACACAACAGCTCCAAGGTACTGACTTCAAGGGTGCATGAAAATGCCTTCACAGA